GCAAGATTACTTGCACAAATAATCCATTTGCGAGTACACTTTTCTAATTATGCAATCAAGACAATTCGTCTTGATAATGCTGATGAATTTATGTCTCAAGCTTTTAATGAATATTGCATGTTAGTTGGAAAAAATGTTGAACAATCTGTTAGTTATGTTTATACACAAAGCAGTCTAGCAGAATCATTTATCAAACGCCTTAAACTGATTGCAAGGCCATTACTTATAAAATCTAAACTGTCAATTTTTACTGGGGGACAAGCCATTTTGCATGCATGTAAAGGAGTAGATCGGTTTGGAACTCACCGCATGAATACATCTTAATGGACAAATTTACGACTTTGTCCTTACTCCCACCTATAACTTAGAACTCCACTCGATTGATTGCTTGTATAGAAAAGTGATATGCTTCATTGCACCATGTGTTCCACAAATAGGTAGCCCAAGTGTTAAGAGGCTGGGTCAAATTCAAGGCCTCCTTATGTCGATCAAGGAACTAATGTTGGAAAACACCTCTAATGCACTCAATCAAGATGGGGATTGGCATTTTTCTTGCTTACCTCAAACACGCGTTAATACACTCCTCAATGTTGGATGTCATGAGTTTGTAGCACCTTACCAATGAAAGAGCACATGCCCATTTCTCAGAGTTTAATTTCATAAGGTGGTCAAAAGAATCCTTGTAAAGCTGTATTAACTAATTCATATGTCCGTTGAAATTGACGACCCTAGAGCAATTGGTTGCGAAGGTGAAAATTGCTGCAACTTCTTCACACTTGAACCTATTTTTTACGTCTTTTCTCAAATAGTAATTGCATAGACCATGGTGTGTGTTGTGGTACATTTTCTTAACTGCGTTCTTAATGTTAAGATGCTGATCATAAATGAACATTGCATTTTCAAGACAACTAATTGCACGACGCAATTTGGTAAAAAACCTCAACCACAACTCTTTGTCCTCAATGTGACCAATGCTCAATGCAACTAGATATATTTACCCATTCGTGTCTTTACAAACAACAATAATTAGAATACCCTAGAATCTGCCTTTCAGATGTGTGGCATTGATAGCAACTATAGGCTGCATTACAACCCTAAACCTTTGAATGCATGCCTCGTACCCCTAAAAACAAAATTTGAATAGTTGTTCCTGATCTGTAGCCACAATTGTGACTGTACCAGGATTTCACATTCCGACATATGGAAATATGAGGGTAAGAGTTGGAATGACTCTTTCGAGGGACTAAAAACAAAATTCTCCACATACTCTTTCACTTCCCAAGCTGTAGCATACAAGCATTGCAATCACCACTTATGATTCATTTCTTTCATTATTTCCTTAGGTCTCAATGGTGTTACATTATTTCCTTACAACCTAGGGGACATAAGCTCACCAATTAACCTCGCGCTCATTGGTTGGTACCCACTTTGCAAAACAACATTACTACATGTGTGTACCTTGTGGAACATGCGAACTTGCTAATAATCTCTCTCAAGCAACTTTGTTGCATGCGCAATGAACTTGCATGCCTTGTCCTTACAAGCAACCTCAAAACAAGGATAACATGACCTTTTAACTCTAATATCGAAATGCTCTTTCAGTGCCAACAGGTTTAAAGCTCGATTGAATTCGACCTTGGATAGAAACATTTTTTCACGATATAAGTGGTCAATATTGGCTCTTTGGTAGCAACTGTTTAGAAAGAAATCATATCTGTCCCCAAAATTATCCATTGACGAGATACCCTTACATTTACCCTTTTTTGATCACTATTATCAAGCAAACGTATCTCATTGTCACTAGCAAATGAATCTCATTGTCACTAGCGATAAGGTTGTGTAAATAGGATTATTGCACTGAACATCTTCTAGGATAACAATTATGGCATCATCTCACTGAGCATCTTTTAAAACAATAATCGTGGCATGCTTTGTATTGCCATCCACATGATTGCAATTTGGAATGTGATTGTCGTCATCCTTGTCCTCATTTAAACAGTCATCATGCCTGCCAATGTAATTGCCATCATTCCAATCAGTAGTGTCATCTTCTGCACAATCATAGTCCATTTAATTAGACGCATTGTCATCACTCGTGACCATTATAGTGTTGTTTGCTAATGGCAATAGACCCACTGCATTCTCTAACAACAATTGCATTCGTTAGCAAGAATGAAGTATTTCTTTCGATGTACATTCTAATCGGAATTGTTCAGATAGCATTTGCAAACACTTCATGTGTGCATTGAGCTATTCAAACTCATAAGCATATGTTAATGGTGATTGCCATTGTTGTCGATTAAGGACTACATGGGGTGTTATGTCTGAAGCAGTATACTTCTGATTTAGATGACTACTACGTTAAACACCTTGTGGCATAACATTTGCATTTTGTTCCTTAATTGTCACAGACACTACAACTGCTCTCCATCTCGTAGAGTACTTGCAAAATCTTCATCGTCCCTGATAATGGGGCGTGAAACCCTTGCCACATGACTGAGTAATGTATGTAGCTCAATTTCATGATTTTGTGAGTTTACCCCAACATTTTCAACTAGCTTCATCGAGCTTCAAAAATGACAAATCACTCCCAACACCCCTTGCTCATGTCTCACCACCCTTGTAAGTGTCATCGACCCAATGACCACCATACGTAATCATAAGCTTCAAATTTGACATGTCGTTGAAATTGAACAAAAAATAAATGTCACAATCAATTAATTTATCAAAAAAAAAAACATGTGTAATCATAAGCTTCAATCAATTTGTCACACAATGCCTAAAATTAGTCTCACAATCCCAAACAAATCAGTTACGCAATACCTTAAAATCGATCTGGTAATCCTTGCAACCAAGTCACGCAATGCCTAAGAATCAGTCTACAATCCCTATAACCTAATCACGCAATGTCTAAAAACAAATCGCACAATGCTTACAACACAGTCATACAATGCCTAAAAGCCACCCTTGCAATACCTAAATGCTAGTCTCGCAATGCCTATAAACCAGTGATGCAAATGCCTAAAAACTCTTTTCTTGTACTTATAAACTAGTGACTCAATATTTAAAAACTAGTAACATAATGTTTAATAACTAATTGATTTGCCTGCCCGTAGCCAGGTTTATGTTGCCAAAGTTATATAGATCTTTAATTTACAAATATATCTAATCAATTTTAACCCTTCAACTTTGAAATTATATTCTATGAATATAAACCAATAAACCCAAGAATCTAAAATACATATTTTGATGTCATCTCTGTTTTTGCGACGATGAGAGTTGGATAGTTAAATAAATAGTAATTTTAGATTTTTTATCTAGATAGTGGGATAGAGAAAACTGAACTGAGACCATTTACTTTGAAAAAAATTACTTAAAAGGTATTATTGTCAAATCATACTAAAAATTAAATAAAAACAATAAAAATTATTATAAAAATTATTTTTTAATTAACTTTATGAAAAGAGTTATTTTTCACAATTTCAACAAATTCAAACTACCTATCAATCTATGACTGGTTGAATACTACACCCAAATAGCATGCATCCTTATTAACCTCAAACGACCATTCCTACTCTCCTTAAAGTACCCACTTGTCAAAGCACACCAGCATAAAATCAAAATAAAGCAAAATACAT